ATTCCTCTTGACCAGCTGTCGATTGGCTTTACTGGAAGATTCATACTGACGCTGTTTCCGAGGTAATCTTTTTCGATTCCGATGTAAAGGTGCTAAGCTTCCGTCCGTCATATGATGAACATCATCAGAGCAAGGTATCATCGTCACAACAAAATTCAAGCCAAGAGGAATCCACTGTCGTCTGCTGGTCGAACCCACCTTCGAAACTCTTCACCCAACACTTTCACTCGAAATGGAAGTAAGCTTAATAATAATATATGAGTGCTAGTGGAAACAAACGGTTGTTGGACTAATCAAATTCATACATTAAAGTGGTTAATTATTTTTCAAACTTTGAGTCCTCAGTTGCACTCTTTCAATATTATCAGATATTCTGTTGGCTGGATCATGCAGTGTTTCTGGATAAGAACGATCCTTTGGCACGTCTGGCACAGAAACATTTCCAAGACGAAGTAAAGATTTGTCTGTAATTCAATAGAGTTTAAGTATCTGAAAAAACAAGTTTGACAGCATTTTAGTTTATTTGAAAGGTTAAGTAAAGGGATTCTTCCAAGTTATTATAATGGAAGTTTATTTTAACATGAAAATTCGAGTGAGAGGGATTCGCGAATCGGCCTAATCCGAATACGAATGAAAGCTTTCCGTTCTTATGTTATTTTACTCATTGCCCGGGCGTAATTCGCATTTTCAACATAATTTATGAAATATCGATTCGCATTCTGCTCATTCCTTTCGTGTAGATATAAAGGAATGTTAGGCCTTGATAGCTCAGGTCCTTACAATAAACGCTATAAGTCCAGATCAGCAGTTACAACTGCCTCGAATACGATCTTCGGGATCTAGTGGAACCAATTGTTGAATTGCTTCATATAAACATTTCTTCGCTTCGATAAAGCTTCGTATATTGTCGCGTTGGCCGAGGAGAGCAGCATAAATTCTGATTGTTACAATTTGGAAACTTTTCGTCTTTTATAAAGATAATTTATAATTGATTTATAAAGACCATTATGTTGGAGTCTCCAGGTTGGTCGGAGTCTTCCTTCGCTCTATAGAAGTTTGAGCCGTCGGGTTGATCTAAATGATTGTACTTTTCTGGGTCCATTTAGCCATAGTGTTCATTAGAATCTCCAATTTCGGACACTTCATTGGCATTGTAGTAGGTACCGTTAATGATCCTTCTTAACACTTAGCTATCTCTTGGCAGAAGTCACACTGACGGCAAAATATTGGTAAATGTGGCTAAACTCTTAGCATTTATATTTATTTACCTTCACAATTTATACTCATTATCCCCTAATGGTATGAATAGGTATCACCACGACAATGAAGTTTACACAGCATTGCTTCTCAAATGGTATTCTCATCCCGGCTGAAATGTACTGCAAAACCTCCTCTTTCCTGTAAAGTGATACACTTCATATATAAACTTTACTTGAATTCGTATTGAGTAGTGATAACATATCAAAAGTATAGGAGGCATTGCCAGACTTCCTTTCTAGTTGGGAGGCCAATTATGCCCAGGCGAGGTCAAAACTGCATCCCGGTCTAGTTTGGATGAGAATACCTCTTGGAAGGTACAGTGACGTAGAGTCCATAAAACTGTAAGAACTTTCACTCATTCCCCACCTTATGCAACTCAGGGTGAATACGACTATGAATAAAGATCTTATATAGGAGTTGTATTAATTGTATTCCGTTTAAGGTGATGAAGGACTGGTGATCTTGCCACTATTGTTTTAGTTGGCCTCATATTTCCATTGAGTTTACAGGGCTTTGATTTCTAAAAAAGTATAGGTATATAACAAATAAAATTTTACTTTACAAAGAATGCCCTCACACGGCAAAGGCCCAGGCTTCCTTGGAATCAACCCTTGCCCTGTGGCCCATAATAACTCGTGGCAGTGTAGCTTAATCGCTGACAAGTTGAGACATTATGCAATACTACCTCAACCCGGATTCGAGTCCCGCTTCGGGTGCTAATGAAACGAATTTTGGAGAACTCTAAACTCCAACTCAGTCTGTATGAAAATATATTTTGGTAAGCAAGGCTTTGCGAAATCCACTGGAGTCGCGAGGCTTACTCATAGAATTATGGTTATATTTAACAACTATTACTCCATCTCCTTAAATGAAATAGAATGAATAGAGCTCTAATATGAGACCTATCGATAGATTCACAAACTCACCTACCAACGATCTCCTGAGAGTTTCTACATCCTATTAAAGACGATCACAAACAATATCGTCATTTGTAATGGCAGATACATGTGTGATGTAATGCTGGGTAGGCATATCCGACATAGAGGTAGCATCTCGAAAATAAACAACATAGCCGCCCTGTTCGAATCCCGTTTTGGGGTGCTAATGAGGTGGAAACAAAAATCCGTACGAGATGAGATTACCCCTTTTCAAAAGTGAGTGGACTCGTGATACGCTTTCCTGTCATTGTGGGTAATTTCCCTATCACCTCTTCATCATCCTAAACGACCTAGGGTGACTTTGGCTCTAAATCGAGATCTACCGAGAGTCTCGAAATCCTACTCAAAACGAAATGAGGCTTCAAGGCTCAGTGTCTGGAGTCATATTTCTGCCATTAAGCAGAGGTTATATGCAGGTACAGCTTATTTGCTTGGTCAATACAACAATTAAAGATTAAGCATAATGTGAAAACACTTATAAAGTCGTTTTAGACTGTCGTGTCGACGCAGAAAAAAACATCGGTTCACATCGGAAGCTTCTTCGCCTAGACGAGTGTTGAATAGAAGTGGCTGGGGCCAAATGACGTCTGGTTGGGAGGCCCCAAACTGTGAAAAAATTGCATACTCTAGTCGTTTTATCCCATACCCGTTTGTGTGACCAAACTGGACTGGCGCAGGATAGTTGAATTGGCATAAAACTTGGCGATTTTCATGTCGTCGCCTTTTGCGAGAGCCTCGTCACAACCCCCCTTTTGCCTTGGGACCCCGTCCGCCTGCACACTCCATATTGTCTGTAGGCATGTGGGAGGGCTTCGGGCGTCCTGAAATCGGTCCTCCAACAGTAGCCGGTCCTCACATCTTCATTGGTGGACGAGACTGTGTTTCTGCCGCCCCTTGAGGCCTCCGCAATGGTGATGGTTGGGACAATTTTGCGGGAAAATACATCTGCCTCAAATACGATTGGCTTCTGACGAATGGATAATCTCGTCGTCTGATTGGTTTGCTGGTCGGAAGACAGACAAAATCCAGCTCTTCATCCGATTGGCAGAGTGGACAGAGTGAATTTGGTATAAAAGCCCGATTCACGTCATCATTTCTCAACTCTCATCATCTGCCCCCCGTGACTCTCACCCTACACTTTGTCTTGTCACCTTTTGGCCGAATAGGAGATCTGTCAGAATGGCTCTACTCCTTAACTGGGGGCCTTTTGAAGAGCGAAAGTCCGTGATGATGCCAACTTCCAGCCTCTGCGGACTGGCCACACCTCCGCGACGTAAGCCTAAAACGCCGACTTCAGTGGACCTTTGTTTACCGCCCAGCCCCGGCACCACTGAACAACGCGGCGTACCGATGCGTTCCGGTCGTCCAGTCTCTTGTTGTGACGTCCATCAATTGCCCAGTCCATCCGGCTCGCCTTCAGTTGCCACCGCAACTGGTGGCATCGTGTCGAGTCAGTCGTCGGGCAAACGACCAACCGGCTCGAGGCCAGGGCGATTGCCCTTTCGTGTGGGGGTACGCAAGAAACCGACTCAAGCCTACACCACAACCAACACAGCTTCACAATCGACCCCTCCTGAGCCGGTTCATCAGCCGCGGTCGGCATCCCCAATGGCCGACGCGAATACGCACAACTGGCGAAGACGATCCTCCGATCAGACGACCCTCACCCGCATTCTCCAGGCTCTGACTCCGTGCAGATCCTCCAAATCCTCGGCCAGACGGAGCCAGTCTGTCAGCGATCTGGCCAACCTGTCCTCTGCCTCCACGTCATCCGCCTCCTCCTCTTTGGAGTTGAAGACATGGGGCTCTGTTGAGCTTTGCAGTACATGTTCCAGTCAAGTAAGCCTTCCAAATTGATGCTTTGCCTGTTTTATCAAACTTTCTCCCTCGAGTCGGGTACTAGTCAAAATGTTGGAGTACTTTTATTTCGTGTGAAGAGGCGTGTCGAAGCGATTCGTTAGTAACCGTGTGTTTTGGTGACATAACAAACGAAATCTCAGTAAGGATTCATCGGAGTCGAGAGCGATGCGCTATTATTTCAGCCACGAAGCTTCTTGTGAGACCTACTTACGAATCCCTTCCACTCGCCTCTTCAAACGAAATGAACGGTACTCCAACATCAATCCATAAAGGGAGACTTCTAAACCCAGTTTTCCCACGTCACCATTTTAGCCCCATAACAATTTCATTTCCTATCGGACCTAAGCCATAACGGCATCATTTACATTGGCCAGGCTGATACTGTCCAGCCTAACGGTGTCCGCCCAACATCCAAACAGTTGTCGGCCTGCGCCTGCCTCATCTATCATAGCAGAGCCTTGTTTGGCATAACCTCTTCAATGACCCCGAGTGCCTTCACGTCAGTCCGACAATGACTTACTTTGCTGAAAGATGAAACAGGTCATTGGGACCAAGTCAATTGTCTTTTCAGCACGTGGCCGTTTCTTTCAACCAACCCCACTACCATCTGTACAACAGGCTGTCTGTATGTGTGCATGTTTGTGTGTGTGTGTGTGTGTGTATGTATTCGTGTACACATGTATACACATATGTGCATGAAAGTGTATGTGGAGTGCAGAAAAGGAATTTATTCTCCATCCATACGAAATCGAGCTTGCTGCTCTAGTCGCTCGGTTTCACGCTTTTGAGTCGACTTTTTTGTACGGGTCCAAGTTGTCGGTTAGCCTTTTGACAAGCAAGTCAGGAATCCACCTCTTTCGTGCCAACGTGTTGACACTGTACTGGCCTGACTTGTAGAATAGGCCGAACAGTTGTGATGCTTTATTTGTCATTGGCAGAAATGCTGGTAGTGCCCGCTTAAGCATCGGCCAAGGCATGACGTTCATGTGGTATTTGTATCTCGTCAGCCGGTAAGAGGAATACCACTCTGTGTCTGTGTATTGGTGTATTTGTGCACTTGCGCGTCTTTGCAGCCCAAGACTACGCTACGTTAGCGAGTAATCTCAATTTATAGGCTACAATTACGAAGTTTCGCCTATTCAAGCGGACACCGGCTAAGCTATCCTTCCCTCGGATAGGATGTAGACTGCGAGTGATTTAGTGAATCACTGGTGAAAGGATGGATTTCTGTTCAGATCACAAATCGGCTTGCAGGTTAAGCTTAAGGATCGTGTGTGACTTTCACCTCACCATCCATGACCACTCGGTGGGATGGCCCTGAAGGACTCGGATCAGTCAGACTCTTTGCGTTCACTCCAGAGACGGAGACGGAGACTGACAGCTTGATTTATGTAGGGCTACAATGACTAGGGCAATAGTTAGTCTCACAATACCATTCCATTTCATTGCACTGCGGTCTCGACCACCCCCAAAAGAGAATCGAACCGATCACACTTGGTTGAGTGCCAGACCTGAATGTGGGATTGTAGCTATGAACAAAGTCCCTTTGATAGTGGCAGACATCAAACTTATTTTTTGCATCTCGCCCACATGCACTACGACTGAGCAAATCTTGAATAGGGCCATAAATATACTCCAGCCTGGCCGAGGATTCATTGCAATAGAATTGTGGGAAAATGCATCGTTTTATGTGTGAATGCTTCTCCCTGTAC